TATTATTTAATAAAAGAAGAGCAAAGACAAGCTTCAAGGAAATCAAAGTCTCAACTTCCTTTTTTTATGTTCTAGTTTTGTTTGTGTTGTTAGTTTTCAAGTTAAGTTTGTTCCAAATGTATTGAAATTAATTGAATTATTGCTGCAGGGCATATTTTGCATATTTTGCAGGCATTAAAAGCCTCAGTTTATTGTATAGTATTTTTTCAGAACAGTACATGTCTACAGTTGTACATGTTACATTTTGTGATCAAAGGTTACTAAAATGGGAATATATTACTGTCAATCTCTCAAAGTTTCTTGCATGGTTTTCAGTTGCACAAAACTAGAAAAGCCAGATGTCAACGCCTCTAGAGAAATAATTATTGTGGACAAATGCATTTACAGGCTTAATATTATGCTAGCTTCACTTTTCAAAATATGATTGCCTGAGGTTTGAAACCACCTTCTTCTCCCTCCCCTCCCTTATCAATTTTGTTGTGTTTATTTTTTTTCACTGTAATATACATTGCATTAACACCAATGTTATCTGAGAAAAAAAGCAGTCATTAAACAGTGTTGAAGAATGAATAAGGACTCAAAAACGGTATACTATGCATACATATGCTTAGAAAGATGCTTAGTTTACATTTAGCTCTGTTGCCTTAAATTATTTGTCCACAATTTTAGATTGCCTCAGCTTTAACATTGTATCTAATGGTGGTGTTGCCCATACCATTTACTTGTCAGTTTTGCTGATTGACTTACCAAAGGAAACTCTTATTACAGTTGTTTCTTACTGTCTAGTTACAAGACAGTACATTTCTCTTGTGTTGGTGTAATGGAAACCACATATTACAAAGTACACAGTTGTTTAATGTAATTTGATCCTAACCGGATGAAGTTTCCATTAATGTTTCTGGGCACCCCTATGATAACCCTTGTCCAAAATCTTTTCTTTTTAGCATATGAAAACAAATGAGATGTCCCTAGTTTTTGTTTTGAATTTTGGCCTCATAGCTTGGTTGGTGCTGTTGCACCCAACCAGTATGTTGGTGTTGCTGACTTCTTTTTTGCAATTGCTTAAATTACAGTCCACCTGCAATGACCATTTCTTTGCTTGATTTTCCTCTGCAGCTCAAATTCCTTCGAATAATAACCTTTGGAACCAGTTGTAGAGGTTTCAAGTAAGTTTAACATCTCAGAGAAAAGATCATGTCTTTAATGGAAGTTCCTGAAATGGTCATGAGCATCAAACCTTGAATAACTCTCACTAAAATGGCGAAGAATATGAAGAATTAAATAATCAGAGTCTCATCTTATATCTTACATGTACGTTTTTTTTTATCCCATAAAGGCGGACTCAGTACTTGTGAAAATCGCCGAAAATGAATTCAAGCTGTTATGTCTAAGGCGACTCGTAGAAGGGTAACATGCCATGTTTCTTCACATGTCCATTGAAGAGAATCTTCTGGAAAGCTGACTTACAATGGCTCTTTAAACGTTCTTGTTTCGTCTCATCACACGGAGGACTGCTGAGTGCTGACCTCGCCTTTCAGTAAAGGAAGAAGCCCAACAGGCAGCGCGCCCTTGAGGCTCTGACTGCTCCACGTGATAGGCTGGGCCTGCACAGAGGGGAAGGAAACAGTTCCATGCCCTCTCTGCCAGACATAAGGGGGGTTTAAGAAAACCACAAGGGGAACGGCAACGTCACTGAAAAAATGTTTAATGAGCAGAACAATGGCTGTACGCGTGTGTTAGAAATTTTTGTAAATTTCTGTGCGTCCCTCAAAAAACCTCGATTAAAAGAATTTGCGGAAAAACAACCAAAATGTTCGTTATATCGAGGAATGGTTAATGGTTTTTTTTTATCGGAACGATTACTGTAAATAACATTTGTGCTTTAATGTCTATATGAAGCTACGGTAGGCTGTACAGGACTACAGCACCTTGTTTTTAAAGCACGGAGGACAAATCTCAGTGGAAGTCACTGGGAAACGGAGAAACAAGGGTATTGGACAGGAAATTCCTGCCTCTTATACCTTTAACTGCAAGAAGCCCTCAAAAGTAAAGAGGTTAAATTCAACAAATTAGAACTAATAAGAGACAGAGAGGATAAAGCGGATCTGTAGATGTGTCAATAGTGTC